GTATGAGTTCCCCAATTGCCATAAGTCTATCATAGGGATAGAAGATTTTAATTACAAAGCAAGCCAGATATGTAGCAATCTTCATACTTTCTCAACTTTTCTGTAACTCCATTCTAAAAAATAATTATTAAGAGGAAAAAATATCATCCTCTTTCAGCATCTCCACTATTCTAAGGAATATAAGATTGTTTGGATATCATTAAATAATATATAACAATACAGTCAGCATAGCACTAAGACAAAATGCCTTCATTAGTTTATTCAAAAATGACCTACTAAGTCCCTTTGCTGAGGCAACTCTACTGTTGGTGATAGGGTGGTTAATGAGCCACCAGCCTGCACAAGAAAGGAAGGGGTAAATAAAATAGAATATTAATTAATGCTAACGATAAAGGCCATTTTAAAAAAGCCCAACACCAAGCAGAGCAAGGTAGTAGAGAATGGGGGGAAGGGTCCTGTTTTGTAGATAGCTAGATAAGAGGCCTGCTTGGGCTGAGATGAGGCAGAGCTCAAAGACCACATGGAGAACTTGACTTTTACTGTCATGGGAAGACAGTCACTGGAGGGCTTTACCCAGAAAAGTGACCTTCTCTGGTATATCTGTTAAAGATTACATCTGTGGCTGTTTGGAAACTGGGGGGAAAGGGGGAAGGAAAGTAGACTACTACAATGGTCCAAGTAGGAAATGAGCTAGCAACTCAGTAGTAACAAGGAAAGCGGAATAAATGGTGGGCTGGAGGGTATATTTCAAAACAGAACTAACAGAGCTTCTGGTAGGGTGGTCGTAGGAGAGTCAAGGACCATGAAAAAAAAAATGAGTTGTGAATAAAACCAAGTGAAAACTACAAAACATGATAGAGATCTAGAGTAGAGACTTAGATAAAGATCAAAATCTTGATCAAGATCTAGAGATCTCATCCAGCGCAGAGTGATACACTCCTGAAATTCCAGCTACCCAGGAGGCAGAGGTAGGATGATCATAGTGCAAAGTCAGCCCCTGAGGAAAATGGATGATACTATCTAAAACAAATGGATGATATTATCTAAAAACAAAAGCAAATTATGGTTCATGTAGTAGAGCAGCTGTCTAACAAGTACAGGGCCATGAGCTCAAATCCCAGGAATCGAAATCCCAGTACTGAAAAAAAGCAAAAAAACCCACCTAGAGACCTTGACTGTCCTCTGAGGCTATCAGATAACTACAGGATGGCCACAAACTTAGCATTCTGCTATATAAAATCATCTCTTTGCTCAGGCTAGAACCCTCTGAGAAGACTTATCTCTAAGACCAAAGGGAATTGCAGGAAATGGTTTCTGTTGATGATCAAAGATGCACCCTTCCTCTCACTGGAGCAGCTGGGGAAGGTGCCAAGTGCAATTTCTTTCTGTGTCGTCTTCCCTGCCCAAATTCCAGGAAGGCAGCAAATGCATTCACTGCTGGATGGACTGAGCACCTAGCAGAGTATATGAGCCATCAATATTTGCTGCACAACGCTGTCCTATAGTGAGTGACAAGTGACTCCTACGGGGCCTCCTCAGAAACCACATTTTAAGAGAAAAACCACAGTATCCAGGCCGACACAGAGGAAAAGATTAAAGTTTGGGAGAGGGTTGAGTAGTCAGGAAAGTGGGGGTTAGAGCCAATAAATGAGGAGATGGCTCTGCAGGAATCTGATAGCAAAAGGGACTGTGATCTTGTTATGAAACTTGATCATCCCTCCCCACCCATCTCCCCAGGATCACTGCATGTCAGAGCTGAATTTATCTGCCCATTTGACAGATGAAGAAAATAAGGTGAAATGACTTGGAACCAGACCCCTATTTGCTAGATTCCAGGTGCCATATTTAAAGAATTGGGCTGATAGCATGACATTAAACTTCCTTTTCTACATATAGACACAAGGAGGAGTTTTTCAGAAACAAGATGGAAAGATGATCTTCTAAAATCTATTACCAAGTAAAATTCCCATTTCAAAATTTCATTTCTGAAAAATTTTTTAAAAATGAATCTCTCAATTAACATTTGAGGTAGCCTATCATGGGTTCTCTTTTGACATGGCTGCCAGGAAGCTTACAGCTAAATTTAAACATTTAATCATCCTGGTAATGGTGGCAAATAGTACTTAATTTCTTCCTCCTCTGTATGACTTTTCTTTATATAACTATTTCAATAGCCTTATTATATTTGTGGCTTTTACTGTTTTAAGGCATCTAAAATTCTTTTTTGGAAGTTAGCCAGGTATAACTCACCAAAAAGCCAAGTGAGATGAAGGATTTAATTTCTCTTCTATACTAGGGTCACTACTTCCAAGATGGTGTCCATTTTCAGATCTCTACCCTTCACCTAAAACTTTGCTCCTTACGGAAGGAATGAGGCTGCCACAGGACAGATTGAATACAAATGACTAGTTTGAAAATTGTAGGGTCTGCCTGCTCAGTAGGCAAGTCCTTGGAAACTTCTCCCAAATGAAAACAAGCTGTAGAAAGCGAGAGCTATGCTTTCTGCATTGACGTGGCAGAACTTCACTTTGAGCGGGACCCTGGAGAGGCCAGCCAGCCCAGGCTATGTGTGAGTGGTCAGCAGGTGGTGGTTTGTTCCCCATCCAACTCCAAGCTTTCTGCAGGCTACAGACACAAGTCTGACCCTCCCAAAGAGGGAGAAATGAGATCCCGTAGCCTCCATCTCTTCTGGACCCTGGCCACATAAAGAGATGAAAGTACTGGTTTTCTGAAGCCATGAGGCTTTTTTTTTCCCCTCCCTAAATGAAATTCCTCCTAAACCACAAAAATTTAGCCCAGGCAGAATTAAGAAAGCCATAAAGGAGCCCATGCAGCGATCTTTCCTCCTGGTCTCTTTCTGCTTCATGACCATCTGCTGCCCATTGCTGTGGAGGTAGCAACAGAAAGCATAAATAAGTCCCAGGAAATGTCAGTCGTTTATGCATTTGGGCCTGAGACTTCCTGTGGCTCTGTGTGTGTGTGTGTGTGTGTGTGTGTGTGTGTGTGTGTGTGTAATTCTTTCCCCAGTTTGTAAATTTTGTTCTTTATTCCTTTGGTATTGGATACGGTTTCCACGATCATCTAAGAGATATGTTCAGAAGAAAAATGGCTTTCAGGGGCTCGGTTGCCTGTGGAAATATACCTTCTCTAAAGCATCCATTTGGATTCCACTCATGATCCCCTCCTAGTCACAGCCAATTTGCTCAGATAGAGACAAGGAGGTGCTGCCCCAATGTTCCCAGCACCTCAGAGAACCAGGCAGCTCCAAAATTCTACAACGTTTCTTTGGGAAAAAATCTCAATGTCATTCTGATCCCCAAGCAAGACCACTCTATGACATCAGCAGCATGGGCAAGAGTCACCTGGGACCATGCAGTTGGGTTGTCATCTCCCCTCTTCCTAGTGAAGCCGAGATATATTGCTAAGCCTTCCAGAGTAGTTTCCTCATCTGTAAAATGGGGAGAATAGTAATACTGCTCTCACAGAGCAGCTTCTCCAACTTGAATGTGTATGCAGAACAAAGGGGTGGGGGTGGGGAGTGCAAAAACACAGACTGCTGGCCCCACGCCCAGGGTTTCTGAGCCAATGGAGTGGGCAGAACCTGGGAACCTGTATTTGCTACGTTTTCAGATGATGGGTAGCTGGCCCACTTTAGGAGGCTTGAGAACTACTTTCAAAGGGTTGTAGTGTGCATTTGTTCTACATATAAAGTAAAGGTGAACTGCAATGATTGTTACCTACTGCTGTTAGTGCTGGTAAGCTGTGTTTGGTGACCTTACTTGTTATTATTTTAGAGGTTGTCCCATCAAATTTACATGCCACAGTCACCTGGCAGTTAAGTCCTGATAGAATCTATTACAAGAAGAACAGTATGGGGGTGTGTGGGGGGGGGGAGAGGGAGATCCTATCCATCCTACTGCAGAACGGATATGTTCATAAGCGTTGTAAATACTTAAAAGCTTAATTCTTAAACGGTGGGGCTTTTCTTTTCTCCCTCTAACTTGCCAGCACCCATCTGGGCAGAAGAGAAGTAAAAGCTGACACAGCTCAATTTCTTCTTAAGGTTTCGTGTCTCTTCTCTTTGCTGCAGTAAAAGCGCCAACACAGACTTAGTCATTATGGTCAAAAAAGAATTCTTTACTCGTTTCAAGTAAGGAGGGAGCTGAGCACACGCAGACATTGCTAGAGCCCTCAGCAACAGCTTTGAAAGCGCAGAGGAAACAGACCCCACTACAAGACCAAAGGGACTGTTAAGAAAAGCTCCCCACCACAAAGGAGATCACCTCAACCCCCCTCCCCCCGCCCCAACCTGCGGGTACTCCAGCCACGGGGTGGGGCGGTGGGGAAGGGGATGGGGGAGACAAAGATAAAAACGCTGGGCTGGAGAGGCACCTGGTGTCAGGCAGAGAGAATCTCCGCACAATATCAAAGATCAACACGTTTTCCTCGTTTGGACTCTTTTGAGCCACCAGCTGGGCAGCTCAGAAGATTCTAGGGAAAGTCCTGCCCCCCCCCCCGAGGGGGGCCCTCTCGTCCTCGAGACCACGCATCACTCCTCCCAAACAAGAGTCCATGCCAACCTCGCGGGGTCCCACGCGCGCCCGCCCTAAGCGCCCCCCCCCCCCTCCAGGTTCACCAAATGGCAGCCAGTGTGGGTAAAACCTCTTTAACTTTCCCAAACTCAGATCGAAGTTTGCGGGTGGTGAACTGTCCGAGCGAGACGAGAGAACGACACGGAGCCTCCTCGCTTCTCGACGGCTTTCGGACACATTTAAACAAAGGGCACGCGTGTGCAGGAACGCCCGAGCTACCCGGCCTTGACAGCTCGACTCCCCTCGGTCCCCCCAGACGTCCCTCGCTTGGAGCCACGGGGGTGGGGGGCGCCACGGTGGGAGTCTGGTCCTCCTACCCACACAGCCTCCCCCGAACTCGGCAGCGATCGGGGTTGGGGTTGGGGGGGGGGGGGGCGATGGGATCCTGGAGCTGCTGCCACCACTCACCTCGCCAACTTCTCCAGCCGCGCCGCGCCCCGGCGGCTGGCCCGGGGGCGCGGACGTGGGGGCCGGCGCCTCCTCGGAGCCCGGGCAGGGACGCCCGGCCCCGGCACCGACGCCGACCCCGGCGCGGGGTGGCGCTGCGGGGCGGACGCGGCACGCGCGGGTGGCGCGGGGCGCTCGCGGGTCTCGGCGCGGCCGGGGCGCAGGGACAGCAGCGCGAGCAGCAGCGCGGCCAGCGCCAGCAGGAGCAGCGCCGCCGCCTTGCTGCGGAGCCTCATGGTGCGGGCCGGCGGCGCTGGCCCCCGCGTGGCGCGGTCCCTCTGCGCATCGTGGCGCGCGCGCGGGGAGACGATGGCGGGGGTGGGGGGAGGACGACGAGCGCACAGTCCAGGGGCCGCCTCCAGCGCCCGCCCGCCTGCCCGCCCGGGACTCGGACCGCGGCGGGCGGCAGCCGGGCGGCGGTGGAGGAGGAGGTGGGAGGAGAAGAAGGAGGGGAGCCGCGAGGAGGGCGGGGAGGAGTGGGCCTCCCGGAGGAGCTGCTCTCTCTACCGTACTGTGTGGAGTAGCCGCCCGGCTGGCTTGCCCACCCGTGGCCACGAGGCGCTGGGACCTCAGGGAGTGCAGATTCAAACCACTCCATCCGTCCTTCCATTCATATATCCTCCATCCATCCGCTCTTCATCCATCACCCACTCATCTTCCACCCATCTTGCATCCTCCATCCGCCATCCATCCATCCTCCATCTGTTCATCTTCCATCCATCACCCATCCGTCATCCATCTATCCTCCATCCATCCATCTACCATCCATTATCCATTCATCATCCTCTGTCCATCCTCCATCCATCCTTCATCAACCATGCATCCATCCATCCTCAATCTCTTCATCTTTCATCCATCATCCATCCGTCATCCATCCATCCTCCATCCATCCATCTACCATCCATTATCCATTCATCATCCTCTGTCCATCCTCCATCCATCCTTCATCAACCATGCATGCATCCATCCATCCATCCTCAATCTCTTCATCTTTCATCCATCATCCATCCGTCATCCATCCATCCTCCATCCATCCATCTACCATCCATTATCCATTCATCATCCTCCGTCCATCCTCCATCCATTCTCCATCCATCCTTCATCAACCATCCATCCATCCATCCTCCATCCATCCATTATCCTCCATCCATTCATCCTCCATCTTTCCATCTTCCATCAATCATCCAGCCAGGCAGTCTCCACTATCCATTCTTCATCCATCACCCATCCATCTTTCATCCATTGTCACCAATCTTCCATCCATCCTCCATCCATCCATCCATCCATTATCCTACCTCCATCCCCCATCCCTTGAGTACTCACTCTCTCCCTCCCATTCCATTCACACATGTAAAGGATTCCCTCAAGCCCTGAGTTACTCGTTCTTCTGTCCATTCCATGTGTTTTCCCCATGATTTATTTTCTTTAATCAGGGACTTTCATACTTGGGAGAGCACATTCACTCAGGCTGGGACATCTTTAACTGGTTTGCTCAGGACAGGTCTCTCCATACAGTGATACAGTGATGGCCAGTAATTTTTGTTTAAAAACACTCTAGAGTCATGTAGTCTAAAGAAATTAGAGAATGAATTTCAAAATCTAGCTCTGAAATCTGACACTGTTGCTTCACTGGTGATCCCCAGCAAACTGAAGAACTTCCTTCAGCCTTCATTTCCTTGTTTGCAAAATGAAAAAGACTGCCAGGTAGGGTGGCTCACATCTATAATCCTAGCTACTCAGGAAGCTGCCATCTGAGGATCATAATACTAATCCACCCCCAGGCAAGAAAGTCTGTAAGACTTTTATCTCCAATTTATCAGCAAAAAGCTGGAAGTCGAACTATGACTCAAGGAATAAAGCACTAAGGGATTCAGCCCAGGCCCTGAGTTCAAGACCCAGTACTGGCACCAAAAAGGGGGAAGGGTAGGATAATACTGCTTGCCACAGTGGTATTTGTGGACATCAGATTAAGTAATACTTTCAAGGAAATGCATTCCACTTGGCTTACAGTAAGTGCCCCATAGAAAGTTCATTTCTATATATAATAACATATTTTATATCAATACATATATATTATCCATACATATAGATTTCTAAAGGGGTAACTGTTTGGAAGATGGGAACCAGTGGGGAAGAGGGGGGACAAAAGAGAGTGAGGGTGTGTGTGTGTGTGTGTGTGTGTGTGTGTAAATAGCACAATAATAAATGAGCCCAACCTGGGCTACGTAAGAGAAAAAAGAAAAAAAATGTATCATACTAAGTGCAAAGTCTACTTTCTTTTTGAAATAGATTTGTGTAATTACTTCACAACCCAAAGAATGGATTCTTCAGAGATTGTAACATCCACAATCGACAGCTCAAGGTCAGAATTTCCTACCTATTCTTCCAGGTCATCCCAGAAACAAGCTGATCCATTCAAACACATTCTCCTATTATTCTCTCTGACAGCCTGAGCTCTATTAACTCTTCTTGTGGTACAGCTGTGGAACAAAGAACACTAGTTATAAAACACATCCCTGAGTTTCTACCAGACTCCATGTTGCCCTACACATCATTATGAAAGTCAAATTATATTCTGATTTGTTCTTGTATTAACATTTTAGCTTACGTCCTTGGAAACATTTGTAGTTTTTAAGTTCTAGAGTGAGGATCAAACGAACCTGGAGCCTCTTGTCAGTCAGGCATCCAGGAAATAGCAGGATGCATGCAAGCTGGAAATGTGGGCAGCAGATGTTGCAGATGAGCAGATATAATTTGGTGGTTCTCCATAGAGGGAGGGGGAAGGGAGGGGCATTCCACTGAGACTTAACATCTGGAATTGTGGGAAGGACGCTTTGGGTCAACACTGTAGTTGGCAGATTCTATTACAGAGCTTAGGCTATTGGACATAATTTTTAACAAAACAACTTGCCCTGAGTAGGCCAAAGGCCAATATGGAGACCAATTAGGCAAGGCTAAGACCTGGTACTTAGGCCTTTAGACTTAGAAATGCCACTGTTATTTTGGAATATGGCTCAATGAAACAAGAATTCCCCAAATCTGCTTTGCCAACTCCCTTCTTAGAACAGATGCACCAGGATAACATGAGGCCCAGGTAAAGGCAGCCTCAGTAGTAGCCAAGGGTTTTGTGTGAAATACTAGAGTAGAACTTGGACTAGCTAGACTGAACCTAACAGAGGATTCTGTTTTCTCAAACAGAAGCAAACCGATTCCTCAATTTACTTCCTTAATCCAGGTTTTGGATTTCATTGCTCTGATTGGTGGGAAAGTATAACTTCTAATGCCAGTGGAAAAGCAGTTTCAAACTCTGGCAAGCATGGCTTACCTAACACCTCACTTGGCCATCTAATAGGCAAAATGTGTGTTTATTACCCTCTAGCCTCCCAAATCTATGTCTCCCTCTGGAATCTTGACACTTATGGCTACTAGTTGCTCAAGCCAGAAATTAGATGGCAATCATTTCCTTTCCTTCAGCTCCTAGATTACTTATCTGCCACTCCAAATTTAGTGTCATAGGATAGTACATACATCATCTCACAGTTTCTGTGGAATAGGAATCTGGCACAGGTTAGCTGAGTCTTTTGCTTTACAAGTTCCCTCTTGCACGGCTGCCTTCAGATGTGTTGGTCCAGACCTGAAGACTTGAGTGAGGACGAATCTGCTGTGAGACTCATTCACAGGGCTGCTGGAAGGATCCAGTTCTTTTGAATCATTGGATAGAGGGCCTCAGTTCTTGGTTGGTTGTGAGACAGAGGCTTCCCAAGTACCCTACCCCAGGCAATCAAGGCAGGCTTATAAGAAGAGCCAAACAGACAATACCAGTAAGATGCAAATCATTTTTTGTTGTGTTTTGTTTTGGTTTTTTTGTGGGTTTTTTTTTTTTTTACAACCTAATCTCAGAAGTGACACACCATCACTTTGCAGCCTTCTATTTGTTCAATCCAGCTTACACTCAAGAGGAGGGACTAACACCAGGTTGACCAGTGGTTGGGGATTACTGGAAGCCATTATAGAAGGCTACTTCTCCTGAAAAGGAATGCTGGAGATAAAACCCTCTGTAACACATAGGAAGAATGTTAGTAGACTTAGCACCACTGAGGAAAGCTTCTGAGCTTGAAGATATGCCAACAGAAGAGTCTTGAATTGGAAAAGCAAAGAGAAAACTGAAAAAGCTATAAAGAAATACCTGAGAATGACAGACTATAATTAAACCATCAAAAAGAGATAACCAGAAGAAATATTTAAATTGCCTTAAATTAATACTAGATATTAAACCTGAGATCCTACCTGTATCTCAGGAGATCAGAGAACACCAAAGTTAAGTGTGAAAATAGACAACACTGCAGATTGAGGTAGGACGACCAAGAGTTCCAGGCCAGTTTGCTCTACATACCAAGACTCTATCTGCATGTGGATAGGCCAATTTAAAGTTTGTGTGGAAAGTCCAAAGACCCAGAGTAGCCAGAGTAGCGAACTCAATACTGAAGTAGAAGAGCAAAGTTGGAGCATTGATACCACCCAGATTCTGGACTTAAGCTCAACAATCAAGATAATCTGGTTTTGATATCAGTGAAAAAACAGACAGATAAATCAATGGAACAGAACGCAGGGCCTAGAACCACATAAATACCATGATTGCCCTGGCAAAGGTGTCCTTTCAGTAAATGTGTGAATACCCACATACCAAAACAAAAGGAAGAGGAGGAAGGGAGGGAGGGAGGGAGAGAGGAAGGAAGGAAGGAAGGAAGGAAGGAAGGATGGAAGGAAGGAAGGAAGGAAGGAGGGGAGAGAGGGAGGGAGGGAGGGAGGGAGGGAGGGAAGGGAGGAAAGGAGAGAAGAAAAAGAAGGGCAAAGAAAAGAAACTTGTTATAGACACTATATCCTTCACAAAACTTAATTGAAAATGGATCAGAGGAAGGCAACAGTAGCTCACATCTATGATCCTAGCTACTTAGGAGGCTGAGGTCTGAGGATTGTAGTTCAAAGTCAGCCCAGGCAAGAAATCCATGAGAGTCTTATTTCCAATAAACTACTAAAAAAGCGAGAAGTGGAGCTGTGGCTTAAGTTGTAGAGCGTTAACCTTGAGCAAAAGAAGCTCAGGGATACTGCTCAGTCCTTAAATTCAAACCCCAGGACTGGTGTACACGCACTCACATGTGCGCACCGCGCGCGCACGCACACACACACACACACACACACACACACAATCAGAAATGGATTATAAACCTATAAATGA